TCTGCTGAGGTGTGCTGTGGGAGCTCATTAGACTTTACCTTATGAAGAGAACTTCCTGAATTCTTCCCCGAATTGTACATGATGCACCAATAACTGGAGCCTGTACATTTTATGCTGATGCAAATAAATCAGAGAAGGCAGGTTACAAATCAGAAGAATTAGTAAGATGAAACAAAGCCCTTATAATTCTGTTCAGAAGGCAGAATTGTATGCTATTCTTACGGTACTAAGGGATTTTAAAGAACCTCTCATAGTTACTGATTCACAATGTGCAGAATGAATTGTCTTGCATAGAAACTGAAACTGCTGAATTTATACCAGATGATATGGAATTGACTTCATTATTCATCCAGGTGCAAGACATAATCAGGAATAGGCTTTGTCCTATATACATAACACACATCTGATGCCATATGGGTCTGCCAGGTCCTCTAGCACAAGGTAATACAGAAATTGATCAATTATTGATTGGAAGTGTGTTGCAGACCTCTGAATTTCATAAAAACACATCATGTCAATAACAAAGGGTAAAGAAAGAGTTTTCCATTATATATCAACAAGCCAAGGAGATCATAAAGAGATGTCCTACTTGCTCTTTCTATAACCAAACCGTCCTGCAGGGAGTAACCCTAACGGTACTCAAAGGAATGAAGTCTGGCAGATGGATGTGTTCCTCTTTGCACAATTTGGTAAATTAAAATATGTACACCACACCATAGACACATACTCAGGTTTTCATTGGGCAACTGCCTTGAGCTCAGAAAAGGCTAATTCAGTAATCATGCGTGTATTAAAAGTTATGGCCATCATGGGCATTCCTGCACAAATGAAGACAGACAATGATCTGGCATATGTATCTAAAAAAATGAAACAGTTTTTTTTCTTATTATAATATAAAGCACATTACAGACATACCAAATAATCCTATGGCTCAGGCAGTTATAGAAAGGTCAACTTGTAGTATAAAGGATATGCTGAACAAACATCCCTTATGGTTGGGAACACCCTTTAAGAGGTTGTTGATTATTACTTGTACAAGATAGAGGGTTGGGGTAAAAACTATGTTTGTTCTTAAAAAAAAAGGATAATAATAGTAGGTAATAGAGTGAATACTTCTGAGCTATTTTTTATGTAATTTACATTGGTATAGTTTTTGTATATTGATACAAGTTCAAATTATATTTGTTATTTTTGTTTACATTATTTGTACACCTATGCAAAGTTATTCTGTCTGCTTGTATATATGCTTGTTTCTATCTCTGTTTAGGACATTTTGTATATTGATACAACTTTTAGGATATATTTTCTTATTGCATTATATATTATTCCTGCCTCTGATCAAGATACTTATACATTATTTACATTTTGAGGTCATTGTCCTCATTTGCTGCATAATTGTTTACAGATTATTTAATATCCTGACATGAAGCTTTGGTCTTTAATTTATACAGGTATTAAATACTATAGGTCAAATCATTCTTCATGTTTGTTGTACTTACAGTCAGATCAATTAGATTCTTTAGATACATAGAAATTATAGTCTGTCTAGATAGGCAATCTTCAACCACTTCAAGGATTTATAGAACATAACATTTAAATAACTTTGGGTTCTGTTTACATGAGATATGATTGTTTCTGACAGCACCATTCTAGTCCCAAGAGAATGTTGAGCTCTGAAGACACTCCACTCAGAGTTTATTTTCTTCTTGGCACAATTGGCCTTTGGGCAAGGAACTTCCCACACCTCAACCACTGACAAGTTACATAGTATTCGGAAATGGATAAGCAGGACTCTCAAATCTTGCCAAGACAGAGCAAGATGGTTCTGAAAAATATCCTGCCTCTGAAAATGGTCTGTCAGTTATGCTATGCCTTAGCTAAATTTGGTTGCTTCAAAGTTGCAAATGAGACTTTGTGATGGAGAAAGGTCATTTGTCTATATGTTACTTTCATTGGTTAATAAAGAAACTGCCTTGGCCCTTTGATAGGACAGAAAATTAGGTAGGCAGAGTAAACAGAACAGAATTCTGGGAAGAAGGGAAGTGGGTCAGATGCCATGATTCTTCGACCTGAGATGGATGTAGGCTAGAATCTTTCCCGGTAAGCCACCACCTTGTGGTGCTATACAGATTATTAGAAATGGGTTAATCAAGACGTGAGAATTAGCCAGTAAGAAGTTAGAACTAATGGGCCAGGCAGTGCTTAAAAGAATACAGTTTCCATGTAATTATTTCAGAGCATACGCTAGCCAGGCAGCCGGGAGCTAGGCGGCAGGAATGCAGCCCGCAGCTCCTTCTACATTTTGGATGATTGATCAGGTAGCTAATTATCTCTGTCATATATTGTTTTCTTTGGAAGTTGCTTTATTGTACTTTCTGTCTGCTCAAGTAATATTTTCTCCCTTCTCAGGCCTTCGATGGGGTTGAAGTTTAGATAGTTGTAGTTACTGTACTCTTATGATTTAACCAAGCCAATTCCTATACAAGACTTAGACTCCTTATGATAAAATGTTTATTAAAACATTTAGCATACATTCCTTACTTAATATGGTTCATTATGGTTTTAATTCTAATTATGTTTGATATCTGTTCTTCGTGTATATAGTTTTGTATTGGGTGTCTCTTATTTAAATAAAAGGGGGGAGATGCTGTGGGAGCACATTCTGCTCCTTCAGCCAATAGCCTTTAAGATACCAACCCGCTTGAGCATGGTCTCTGATACTGTAAAAACAGCTGTAAATGTGTGCTTGCTCTCTTGCTTTCATCTCCTGCTTCCAGCTGCTAGACTCTGTTCCTGTGTGCACAGAGGACTGTTATCTAGGACAGTGATCTCTAAGTTTTTCCTTAAATAAATAACCTTTTATTATTCATAATTCTGAAGTGGTATGGGATTATTTTGTGACTTTTGAATTCAGAGGTAGACTGCTGCATGTTTGGGGACATCCTTTCCTGTCATCTTCAACCATCTTCCTCTTCCTTCTCCTCCCTGCCTCTTCTACCACCTGTTTCTTCTCTCTCTACACTTTCCCCAACTCTACTTTCCTCTTTCTCCCATTCTTAAAGCTTGAATTTGTTCTTTAATGGCTGAGATTCTGTCTCACTCAGTATAACTCACAGAAGAATTGTTGTACATGAACATGAGCCTTCTGGAGCCGAGAACTAGCTGTGTGGCTGTGCTAAGGGTCACAGACTGGGCACTTTAGATGGATCAGATAGAATATGCATCAGGGATTTCTGAGAAAAATCCAGTTAGAAGGATGATGAAAGGAAACTGATTTTGCTGAAGGAGGAGCAGTGAATTATGATGATTTAAGGAAAGTATCACTGACTTCCAAGCATGCACCCATTATTATTATTATTATTAATACCACTAATATTAATAATAATAAAGTTGTTTGAGCTCAGAATGTTTTCTCACAGATGCAGAATGAAGCCAGAACAACACATGTTAGATCCCCAGGACATACTGCTCCAAGGATGGCTTCATGAACCTGGTCAGAGGATTACCATGCATACACTAAAGTACAAAAGAAAAATCTAGGCTAGTTAAATGTGGCAGCAAAAGAGTGAGGATCAAAAATCTCAGAGAAGTGCATATGCCAAAGCGGATGGAACAGCAAACATTTCCAGGGGAAGCATGCAGAGTCTATGCTGTCTGTGGATGCTGGAAAGGCCCTGTTGGGAAGCACAGTGAGAAGGACCCAGGAGAAGGGCACCAGCATAGCTGGAAGACGAGGGATGATGATGGACTAACTGCTTTAGGTGGAAGGGGAAGCATGGCTAATAGAATACAAAAATCCTAAATATAGATAGACGGTTAGCTAACCCATATGTGGGCTGCATTTTATGAGCTAAAGACAAAACAGATGAACAGGAGTGTGAAAGTGGCTGCCCAGGGGTACAAAGTGTATGGAACAATAAACACAGTTGAACTCAGAACTCCGGACTCAGAGCTCAGTATGCAGGAGACTGAGTGGCTCTCTCAATGCTGTCCTATGTCTCTGTGATTCTTTCTTATCTTTGTTCTTCCTACCTAACTTTTCTAATCCTCACAGCCCTGCCCTGGAATTTACAAATCCACCATGACTTGGACTGTGGCAGAAGTCACCCCTAAAAGATGGCTCCTGACATATGGCAGCCCAATGTGGAGTGGCTCACGACAGGGCACCAAGCACACACATACACACACATAGTGCAGTCAAGATCTTATGTACATAAAATCAAAATTTACTTAAAAACATTAAAAGTGAACCACTTTAAAAGAGACTGAATTTGACTTGTTAGGTGGACAGATCAAGTCCCAACAAGGAAATGGTTCAGTGGTTAGGAGATTCTATTCTCAGAACCTACATGGTGGCTTACAATCACCTGTAACTCTAGTTCCAGGGGATTCCAAGATGTCTTCTGACCTCCCTAGGCCACAGTGGTACGTGGACATGCATGAAGGCAAAACACTAAGGGGCATAATATTAAAACAACAACAAAATATGGAGTTTACTCAAGAAATACCTCTCAGTTACTCCAGGATTAAATAAATTGACAAGTACATATTCTTTCCTTCACTATGGAGTGTTTAGACCCCTAGGATATTGATTAGATAATTTATAAAAGGAGATAAAAATAAAAGAAATAAAACCAGCCCATGTCAGGGTTTGCTTTGTCAGGTTCAGTATCTCTGGTTTTTCCTGCCTATATTTCTTACCTGGCCAATCAGTATTTATTTATAACATGATTGACAGAATACAGACAATTCTCCCGCACTACCTCTATTTTCATATGAGGTTTTCTTACAAGTTATTTTATCCAATGATTCCATTTGGGGTTATTTGTAGAAGCTCAGTGATCAGCTACTTATAAGAATGTGGATTCCTAAATAGTGGCCATACCACTGATAAAATATTACCTCCACTCCTGCACCATTAACTGCAGATAGATTTTAAGGCGCTCTGGAGCCTCATGAGTCCCTCTCTCTCCATGAAGGGAAGGCTGACAGGCCTGCTCTTGTGCAGGGATCATGCAAGTGCTCAGAGCTGCTGAGAGTTCAGCAGTGCAGCAGCCATGTCATGACTGGAACACAGGGTTCCCTTACAGACTTTCTTCCCCCTTTTAAATGAGATTCCTGACTCTTGGGTGGGGTGATGTAGATGTGTGGTTTAGTAAATTCTTTTATTCCCATGTCTTGGGTTCATCCTCCTGAGACAACATTTTGGTGGCCTGGTTTGGGAACTCTCCGTTTGGCTCCATTGTCTTCTCTTGAATCTGTGGCTTGTGGCGGTTGACAAGACAGTTCATGGGCAGCTGAAAATTTCTGTCTGGAAAGGTTTTGCAGTGAGATTCAAAGCTCCAGACTGAGATTCTGAAAGCATTTACCCCTTTACCCCAACAGAGAAGGCTGCAAGTCACCTATTAACTTGTACCTCAATGTCCCATGACCCCTGACAGATGAAGGGGTTTTGAGTACGGACTACCCAAGCCCTTCTCAGACAGACCCATTTTTGGGGTCAGCAGCCTCTCAGTTGCATGTGGCACAGAGGGAAGTGAGGCAGAAAGAGTAGAAGGGCAGTCCTATTGACTGTGTGAAAACTCCTTTGCAGTTGTGTTTGTGATGAGTACATGGTAAGGGTCCCTAAAAGGGCCAGGACAGGAGTGCATGCAAGTGATGTGTTCAGAAGCTTGTTACATTCAGTTCTCATTGTCTGAGCAGAAGACAGTATATTGAACTGATAACCAGACAGTCAACAGGTCAGTGTTAAGGGCATGGGAGAATGGCCCAATAGGTAATAGATACCACGTGGGACACCTGTTCCATGTCCTCAGCAGACTAACCCTATCAAGAACCAGAGTGAGACCCCAGCCTGCTCCTTACCTCCTTGGGGATGGTATTTTCTCTTCACATACTTGTAAATGCCAACAATGACAGATAGGATGATGCTGATGGTGCTGACTACTGCTATGATGGTAAATATTTTCTTATTGGAAAACTGATTGGAAGACAGAATCTGGGTGGTGGTCATGGTATATGGAAGCTGGGTGATATCCGTGGTGCTTGATGTTGGTCCTTAAAAAAAAATCAGCAAAGTTCGGGATAAAGCTAAAAACATAACTCCATCAGCATCTTCTCTCTCCATTCAGTCTGAGGGTCTCATGTGTAATAACTATTTATAATTCCTGAGTAGAGAGAGGAGTGGAGCTATGTGGACAATGTTCTTGCAGAGTTTATTTCCTCACCAAAGAAAACAAATGTCTATCAAAGCATTAAACAATATGACATACTTAATGTGGTAGAACTTTCTGGATGGTGGCACAATTGGTGGCGTTTAATTGTTCCAGAGAAAGATGGTGAAGCCTTTCACAGTGATGTGGAGCTGGTACAAGGGCAGCTATCAGTGAGAAGGAAAGTGTAGTTGTATAGTATATGTGTTTTAACAAATGAAGCTGCCTGAAGATCTGCAGGCAAAGGGAAGCCACACTTTTAATGTCAGGATTTGGTAGACAGAGGCAAACAGATCTTTGTGAGTTCAGGCCACCATGGGCTACACATGATCAATCCAGAAACAGATCCAAGTGGTGGTGGCTCACACCTTCAATCCCAATACCAGGGAGTGACATGCCTTTAATCCCAGCACTCGGGAGGTGGAGACAGGAATGATAAGGCTGTGGGGAGAGAGGAATATAAAGAAGAGACAGGAACTGACTGGAGCATGGAGTCTGAGATTGGTGGAGAGCATTGAAAGAGGGTCCCTTTTTGTGTCTGGGTCTGACAGAGGTAAGATCATTCTAGTGTCTTGGCTGCTTTGCTTTTCAGGCCTTCAGCTTGAACCCCAATATCTGTCTCTTGGTTTTTATTATCCATAATACATGTAAGAGTGGAGGCTTACAGTGATGCATACAGACTTTGGGCCATGTTGTGTCTGGGACATTAGTTAATACAAAGTGAGATGAGGAAGAGGAATCCTTGTGGTCATCACTGGATCTCAGACAGGAAGACAACCAGGAAATCTTTCATCCAGTCTACCAAATGGAATGGAATTGCCCCCTGATGATCTAGGTAATACCTACTTGGCTTTTTCTTCTGGTGCTTTAAGAGTTCCTTGAGCCAGTGCCTGCAGTCTGCTGTGGAGATTATCTTGAGATCCTTTACGAATTGTTCATCATCCTTCCATTTGTTCATGATACCACCAGCTTCACAATCAATCAGTGTCCAATTCATATTCATTGTGTTGAAGAGGAAGGAGTACTTTCCACTGATGTTAAATCTCCAGGAGGCACCAACACTTTGTCCGTGTTCATACTGAGAAAGCATGGTGGTCTTTAAAGTGGGCTGCCCTGTGAACCAGACACAATACCATCATGCTTCACTCTCATAGATCCATCACTTCTCCAAAGGTCAAGACTTTCCCACTGGCTTATGAGCCAGGATCATTTCCACATGACTTTCTCTTTGTTACCCACTGGGTACCACATGCTTCCAAGGTTGGACCAGTGCTCAGCTCCCTCACACAGACACATTCACCATCCCATTCCCACATGTGCTCTGCCCTTCCTCTCTCTTGCCACCTGTCTCTGCCCCAGTACTCGATCCCACACTTACCACTGATCTTGGTAATCTCATGTTTAGTGTTAGCCAACATCTTCCTGAGCTCTTTCCACAAGTATTCCAGCTTTTGGGTCATATCTGTCCACACTTGAGTCCCATTTGCTGCATTTCCCAGGTCACCCAAAGGTGTGAATTTGCTATCATTATATTGAAGTAAAGGATCTCCATCCACTGAGCACTGCCCTTCACACCAGGGCTGTCCAGGTGTGGGATGAGCCTTGACAATGATGTCACAACGAAGAGATTGTGTATCTGTTAGAGAAACAAGCAGGTGAGCTACAAAGAGGGAGCAGAAAGTCACAGGACTCATGGTCTATGACACTAGATGACACACAGAATCCCTCTGAAGGGCAAGAAGGCAGGAAGAGAAGCCTCTAGTCAAGAAGTCCACCAGCTTCTGAATCCTTGTTTCTGTGCCATCTTTGACTGTCTTAGGGTGGTAGAACCCTCAGATGCACACTATGTTACACAAAAGATTTATCTCTCAAGTACTTTTAGTGACTTATATGAGGTATTAAGGACTAAAATACATTAAACAGTATCTGTGTTCCTGGGACTGAGATCTACTGAACAAACAGCGAAAGGAGGCATCATAGAACACATGGTAAATTCTACATGGAGTCTGGGAGTTTAGGAAAGGCCTCCTCGCATAACACTGCCACTTGTCATGGGAGGGTGAGGTGCCACCTGTGAGCATAGTACTCACTGTGTTCCCACTGGGTCCCTTCACACAGCAATGTTGGGCATCAGATGCCCAATTCTCCCACATTAAACCACACCCCTAACTCATTCTCAAAAAAAAAAAAAAAGATCTCTATCTGTGACCTGCTTGAAGCCCTCAACCTCCCTCCCTGTCCTCCGGCAGTTGTTTCCCAGCACACTTATGGCTGCTGGTCTCTGAGACTTTCCCTACCAGCAACAGAAGACACCACACCCTAGAGCTGTTCTGTTCTGTAGGCTGCACAAACAATCAGGCAAGATCTAGTGAGACATGGACATATATATTCTCCTGTGTGTGTGTGTGTGTGTGTGTGTGTGTGTGTAGATCTGAAATCTAAGCTAATAATTTTTAAAAGAACTTTTAACAAGTTTTCAATATAATTATACTAAAAATGCAGTTTTTTTTCTTTTTTTTTAAAAAAAAAACCCTCTTTCCCTTCTCACACTTTAAAACTTCTGCTCTGAGATGCCCTGCTGCAGGCTTGGGGACTTTCTTTCCTGTCCCTTTCAACCAGTTTCCTCATCCCTTCTCCTCTTTGCCTCTGTTTCTTTTATCTCCGTGGTTTTCCCCAACTCTAATTTCTCCTTCCTACCACTCTTCAGTCTTGAATTTACTCTTTAATGGCTTGGATCCTTTCTCACACAGTACCCACTTCTGGAAAATTGGTGGACATGAACATGAACCCTTGTGAGCTGAGAACTAACTTTGTGGTTGTAAAGCAAAGGTCACAAACTCAGCTCTTTAAGATGGATCACAATGAAATGTGTAGCAGGGATTTCTACAAAAAAATCCAATTAGAAGTTTGGTGAAATGATGCTGTTTCACTAAAGCAGGAATAGGGATTTATGAAGATGATGGAAAGAAAGCATCCCTGATATAATAATGTCCAATATGCAATAATAATAATAATGATAATAATAATAAAATCTTAGAAGGAAACAATTACAGTCAGACCTCCAGATTTCAGTGAGGAAAATATTTCTAGAACCTCCTACAAGTGTGTCACAGCAGTATTGACTAGACAAGGTCTCTATCTAAAACCCTTGAGACTCACCAAGTAGGCTAGACAGGCTTGACACTGACTCCAGGGTTCTCCTGCCTCTGCCTTCTTAGTACTGACAGTAAAAGCACACAACATTATGCCTGACTCTATTATAGGAGCTCCAGGGATCAAACCCAAGTCTTCATTGATGGGGGGAGAGTCTTCTGTTCTGTGTTAATTTCATTGGTTAAATAAAGAGACTTCCTTGGCCCTTTAATAGGACAGTAAATTAGGTAAGTGGAGTAGACAGAACAGAATTCTGGGAGAAAGAAGCTGAGTCAGGCAGTCGCCATGATTCTCGCACCCGACACAGAGGCAGGTTAAGATCTTCCCTGGTAAGCCACACCTCATGGTGCTACACAGATTATTAGAAATGGGTTAAAGCAAGGTGTGAGAATTAGCCAATAAGAGGCTGGAACTAATGGGCCAGGCAGTGTTTAAAAGAATATAGTTTGTGTGTAATTATTTCTGGGTATAAAGCTAGCCGTGCGGGAGCTGAGTGGAATGAAGCCTGTCACCCTTATTACTACACTTCATGATTGTGAAGCAGGCCTGCTACCACTCAGCTCTCTCCCCATGCTTTGGACATACAGTACTTAATAGTAAACAGCCAGAATTTTCTGGACAATGTCCATGTGCTCCAGGAGTGGCTTGCAGGAACCTGGTCAGAGTCTGGTCCATACTGCATGGAACAGAAAGTCCATAACTTCTAAAGCTGGAAGTGAAGGGTGTGTGTAAAGACTCAGTACATGTGTCAAAGGATATGTGATATGAAACACGTCCATGGGGAAGCATCAACAACTACTGTTTGACAAGCATGGAAAGGATGTCCAGGGAGAAGGGCACAGGCCTTGGCAGATACCCAGGATTAAAAACTACACAAGGCCATGGTTGTGGTGGTTTGAATAAGAATGGTCTTCATATGCTTATGTATTTGAACAGTTAATCATCAGGGAGTGGCACTTCCTAAGAGGGATTAGGAGTGTGGCCATGTTTGAGTAGACATAGTAGTCTTATTGGAGGAAGTGTGTCAATCTTAAGCCCAGAGTCTCTCTCTTCTTGCTGCCTTTGGATCTGAATGTAGAACTCTAACTGGGTACCACCATACTCCTCATCATGAGGATCATGGACTAAACCTCTGAAAATGTAAACAAGCTGCAATCAAATGATTTCTTTTATAAGAGTTGCCATGGTCAAGGTGTCTCTTCACAGCAATAGAACACTGAACAAGATCATGTTTCTCCCTTAAGTTGCATTTGGTAGAGGGTTTATCCCAGCAACAGAATGAAACCAGAACAGCACACGCCAGGTCTCCTGGATACTGCAGGGCTCCAGGAATGGCTTCCAGGACCTGGTCAGAGACTAGCCCACACTACAGAACAAAGAAAATCTAGACTTGTTCAATCTAGCAGTACAAGAGTGGGGATCAAGAATCTCAGAGAAATGCATGTGCCAGAGTGGATGGAACAGCAAACATTTCCAGGGGAAGTGTGCAGACTCCATGCTGTATGTGGATTCTGGAGCATCCCTGCTGAGAAGCACAGAGGGAAGGACCAGGGAGAGGGCACCAGCATTGCTGGAGCTCGGGGATGTTGATGGCTCAAGGCTGGGGTGGGATTAGGATAGTGTATTTATAACTTAGAACCCTCTATTATGTCTCAAAAAACATCCCATAGGGTATTCAGGAGGCAGTAACATTAATGAGTACAGAAAAGACAGCCTGGGTCTTAACTGCTTAAAGTTGGAAATAGTGGGCTAAGAGGAGGCAAGATTGCTAAATATAGACAGATGATTACCCCACCCAAATGTGGCTGGATTTTAATAATTAAAGACAAAACAGATGACCAAGAAGTTGAAAGTTGATTTCCCATGAAAACTCCTGACCCCTGTGCCCATAGTTAAAACTAAACCTTTGGGGCTAGAGAGGTGGTGCAGTGGTTAAGGGCACTAGTTGTTCTTGAAGAGGATCCAGATTTGATTCTCAGCTACCACACGTGGCTGCTCACCACTGGCTATAGCTCCGGTTCCATGAGATCCAATGCCCTCTTTTGACCTCTAAGGGGACCAGAAACATGTGTTTTAAACCTACATACATGCAGTCAAAACATAAAATAAATCTTAAAAAAAACAGTAAAAACTTAACCTCCTCAAAGACAGACTCAGATTGACTTCCTAGGTCAGAGAGATCAGGTCCCAACAAGAGCGACCACTCTGCCCAGCAGCAAGTGCAGTCATTCTTTCTGCACCGCTTCATTACTGCCCCGTCACTCAGGGATGAACCCAGATATGCTCCTGTGAATGTCTAGTGTGGTTATTTGAATGACCCTATTCTCTGTAGAGCAGGATGCTTGAATACTTGGTCCCCAGTTGGTGGCAGCTGTTTGGATAGGTTTAGGAGGTATGGCCTGGCTGAAGGAAGTATACCACTGAGGGTGTGGCTTTGAATCCCATTCCCATTTCTTCATGTCTGGATCATGCCTGACTTTAAGATGCAGCCTCTCAGTTGGGCATGACATCACAGAACTCTCATCCCAGCACTGGAGAGGCAAAGGCAGTCAGATCTAAATCAGTTGAAAGCCAGCCTATTCTACATAGTAATTTCTAGAACAGCTGGAAGTATACAGTGAGACCTTTCAAAAACCAAACCAAACAAAGCAAAAACAAAAGGGGGGAAATGAGAAAGTGGGTGGTTGTGGCTACCTTGTCTTGGAAGCATCTATTGTGATTCGCTGAAAAAATACCTTGGGACCATAGTAAAGAATGTTAGAAAACAAATAAGTTCAGGAATGGCAGAGAGCTTGTGAAAATTCCTTGGAAAGACAGTCTTCAGATCATGGACTACCTTATGACCAAGGGAGTTAGCTGTCTGAGCCTCTTGGTAGGGTCTGGAACCCTGGCATCTTGCCTATCACCCTGGTTCTCCTAACTCAGTTTAAGTTTTCTGTGAACCTCAGTATGCCTGAGGGCTAGTGGTGTCACCAGGATACCCCCTGACGTCTTGACCTCACTATTTGTCTTCACCTGGTAATTTTCTTGGTCTTCCCCTGGACATGGTAGTGACAGGGTCAAAGAAAGTGCTCTGTGCAACGATATGTTTTAGAGACTTCAGGAGCTCCCTTCAGGAGACTGGTACCTCATGATTCAATAGCGGGCTCCAACCTCCTTGCCCCTCTTTTCCTCTCCCCCATGCTACATTCCCAGTAGCCCTTCACTTAGACCATGGCAACTCACCGGCTAGCAGCGTCGACCACAGACAGATGATCCTTAGAATGGAGGAGCACAGAGCCTGGGTGGAAAGACAGTGCTTGGCGACTGCCTTCTTTGCCATACCCTTAGCAAAAGGTTTAATAACTGGTGCTGCAGAGGGAAGAGGATGTGTGCAAAGAATTATGAAGTGCCAGGCACCTGGTATGAATAGTGCATGACAGGTTGACTGGCTGACAGGCTCTCTCTGGACCATAGTCATCCTTCCCTCTGGGAGGCAGAGACTATGATCTGAGTGGTGCAGAGCTGCTGTAGTTGTCCAGTCCCCAGGATCCTAAACCTCCTGGTGCATCCCATGCATTCCCCAGGTGAGCCTGCCCTCTGACTCACTGGCAAAGTATAATTAAAGCACAACAACCCACAGCAACCTGAGTCAAGCCAAGAGTTCCTTCTAGGAGTCTTTGCTACACACATCCTTAGCTTCAGCCACACCAACAGTCTTTCTCTAAACCACCTCTCCCCCCACGCCCAATTCTGAGTTCCCCTCTGATCTCCAGCTGTCCCTTCTGCACTTCCTGTTGCAGGAGGTCCTCCCACTCCTCCAGCCTATAGCCACTGAGATACCAGCCCATTGGGGTGTGGTCTCTCTCTCTTTAAAAAAGTGGCCACTTCCCTCTCCTCTCTCTCTTCACTTCCTGCTCCGCCAGCGACTAGACTCCCTTCCTGGTTGTGTAGAGGGCTGTTGTCTGGGACGGCGATCTGTAAGTTTTTTCCCCTTTAAATAAATACCACCCTATTAATCATAATTCCAAACTGGTGTGGCATTGTTTGTGACTTACACCTTCAATTGGCGCCCAATGTTTGGTTGGTTTTAGGACCTCTCCTTCCCCTGCTCAGCTGCCGGCCTCGAGTTTGCCTTGGCACGAGCCCTCCCTCCCTCAGCCGCAGCCTGTGCAGTGGCCTCGTGGCCTGTGTCTTGTGCGTGGAGCCATCAGCTTAACATAAATCATCACGCACTGGCTTTTCTTGCTGCAGTTCTTTATATTTTCTCTTTAGACACCTCAGATTGACTTCCAGTCCCCACGCACTCTATCATCTGCCTCCCCACGTGGATTTAAACTCCACAGGCCTGTGTAGTCTCTGCCCGCGTGGTTTGCTCTTTTCTGAGTCATTTTTAAATCTCCCTTGCAAACACAGCTCTTAAGTGGCGCGAACCAGAGCACGCGGTTGCTGAAAGCTGCAACCCCTCAGGGTGACTCTGTCACGTGGAGGCATAAGCGGCTTCCAGGTTGCTCTTCTCTACCCCTGGATTCTGGGTTTCTGGTTCCGTCTCTGGAATTGATTTAATTACATTTACTTTGTTGAGAAACTTTCATTTTCCAGTTTTTAACATCTACTAAGGCACTGAAACAGGACCCTGTTTTCACCGTGACTCGGCAACAGTGTCACCTGCTGGATAATAGGTAATATGGCAGTTTTCATTTCTAATGCAAATTTTACTGCTTTGTTTTCACTAATACAATGGATTAGTAAATTTATATTTATAGTAAATAATTTATTATTATATTTATTATAATTTATTATATTATATTTATATTTACTAATACAATGGATTACATCATACAAGGTTTATATGATTATGGGGACACCTTAATTTGCTTGTTACTAGGTTTCAGTTTTCTTTTCCATATTCTATCATTAAGGAAGAATATGGCACTCCTAAGAACGATAGAATCTTTATGAACTAATAATGAACAGAAGAATATGGCACTCCTAAGAATGATAGAATCTTTACGAACTAATAATGAACAACTAATTGACAGGATTAAAATTAATGAAAATCAGAGGTTATCTGAACAAGTGGATACTATGACAGACAAAATTGACTCCATATCCAAGGGTACTAGAAAGTTACCTGAAAGGGTTCAGGCTGTTGAATTTGACCTTCAGACTTTATCACAAAGTTTTGATAAGGTAACAGACAGAATGTACCTCCAAGATGGGAATCTACATGATATACAAGAAAAGTTTAAGGAGGACATGTTATTTTTGAAGGAAAAAATTAAAGCTTTGGAATCACAGGTGCAGAATGGGGACCAAAAAGTTGATACCTCAGTGAAATCACTGGAAATATATACAGGTCAGGAGATTCAGGATTTAAGAGAGACAATGATAAAAAGATTTGAAAAGATTGGAGAAATTACTGCAGCTGGTGAACAGAGAAAGGAGGCACAAGGACAGGATACAATGTCTCCACCAGCTATTAGAACTGGCTTACCCAGGGTTCTAGCGACATACCCTATACTTAATTCTGACAAAGCGTCAACTTCTAAAGGCTCAAAGGGAGTCAGAGAAGCTAGATGGACGCCAATAGCAATGAATGACCTGAAAGAAATTAAGCAAGCTGTTGTTAATTTTGGCTTGCACAATGCATATGTAAAGGAAATGATAAGGACTTGGACTTCTAATGCTAGAGCTACCCCCCATGATTTCCATCAGTTAGTGTCTGCAGTTTTAGATAATGGACCTTCCTTGATGTTTGGAATTTATTTCAGAGAAGAATCCAAACATATGGAACAGCAAGGAAGAGCAAAAGGTGTTGAGGTTTCCCAAGATCAAATTCTTGGTGCAGGAGAATATGCTGATCCACAGGTCCAAGCTCTTTATGACGATGAAGTACTGTGTCTATGTCACCAAGCAGCTTTAAATGCTTGGAATAGGATACAAGATCCAGCAAAAAGGGTTGAATCATATACCAGAATTAGGCAGGGACAGAGAGAACCCTTTATTGACTTTTTGCAAAGATTAATTAAGGCTCTGGACATAGGGGTAACAGACCCAGAAGCTAGACAAATACTTCTTGAATCTCTAGCTTTTGAGAATGCAAACATAGAATGCAAAAAGATAATTGGGCCTTTAAAGTCTGGATCAGCATCTATGGATGAATGGATTCAGCATACCATGAATGTTGAGACGTTTAGCTAAAATGATAAATCTTGGGTAGGAGAAGCGATTTCCAAAGCAATGAGGAGATATCAAACTGCCAGGTGTTTTAATTGTGATAAATTAGGACATTTGCAAAGGGATTGCAGGCAAAGAATTTCTAGGAATAATATCTCTTCTGGGAATGACAAAAATAGGAGACCTCTGCCTTCAGGTATATGTAGGAGATGCGGTAAAGGCCGGCATTGGTCCAACGAATGTAGGTCAACAACAGACAGACGGGGCAATCCGATATCATTGGGAAACTCCTTGGGGGGCCTCTCACAGGTCCCCAAGCCAACAGTGGCCCAGTCATTCCCAGTCACAGTGGAGAACGTGCCTCACCAAGAAAATTAAAAGCTCCAATTTCTGCTGTAAAAAGTAATACTGGTCTAAATGATGGATTACGCGTGGAGGATGAGTCAAAAAACCCAGGAGGACAGAGTAAACGTATATTTTGGCAGACTTCTATTAATGATCAAAGACCAAAGCTAAGAGTCTGTATAAATGGCACTTTTATTGAAGGCTTATTAGACACAGGTGCGGATGTAAGTATCATTACCCCAGAATCTTGTCATCCGAATTGGCCTTTTCAAGAGGTAGATGTTCAGTTCCTGGGAATTGGAACCCTATCTCGTGTAAAACAAAGCATAAGATGGGTTGAATGCATAGGGCCTGAAAGGCAAATAGGAAGACTAAGGCCATATATAGCCAATATTGCCATAAATTTATGGGGCCGTGACCTGGTACAGCAATGGAATACCCAGATTAACATTCCTGTAGTTCCAGGAACTCATAATTCTGGGAAGGATATGATGAGGTATTATGGAAAAAGGTCACCAGCCATTCAGGCTGTACAAGAACATGCAGCAAATACCAAACATTTAGAGGTACCAACAGCCCTACCTTTAAAGTGGCTAACTGAGAAGCCAATATGGATCAAACAGTGGCCTCTAGCTGAAGATAAACTACAGGCATTGGAACAGCTGGTGCAAGAGCAACTAGATGCTCACCATATTGAAGAATCAACCAGCCCTTGGAATTCTCCTGTGTTTGTTGTAAAAAAAGAAATCTGATAAATGGAGAATGGTGACAGATCTAAGAGCTGTCAACAAAGCAATTCAACCTATGGGCCCACTACAATCTGGAATTCTTTTGCCTTCCCTGTTACCAAAAGGATGGCCTCTTATAGTTATTGATTTGAAAGATTGTTTTTTCACTATACCGTTACAAGAAAAGGATAGAGAAAAATTTGCCTTCACAGTGCCTACTTATAATAATTCTCAGCATAACAGGAGATATCAATGGACTGTCCTCCCACAGGGTATGCTCAATAGTCCTACACTGTGCCAATATTTTGTAAGTAAGCCATTGGAAATAATTCGTAAACAATTCCCCAAGTCCATCATTTATCATTACATGGATGACATCTTGTTATCTGATTCAAATAAAGATACTTTAGAAAGGATGTTTGAAGAAGTAAAGAAAGTCTTGCCTAGGTGGGGATTACAAATTGCCCCTGAAAAGATTCAAAGAGGAAATTCTATTAATTACCTAGGTTACAGAGTAGGGTTAGAGAAAATTAAAATGCAAAAGACACAAATTAGGAGAGACCTGTTAAAGACTCTTAATGACTTCCAAAGATTGTTAGGAGACATTTCCAGTCTACGACCAGCTGTTGGGATAACACCTGATCTAATAGTTCATTTAAACAAAACCTTAGATGGTGATAAAGATTTGAATAGTCCAAGAAAACTGACAGCTAAAGCAGAAAAGGAACTGACAATGATTAAGGAAAAATTACAGGAGGCACATGTGGATAGGGTGAACTCAAATCTCAGCTGCATCCTAGTCATATTGCTTTCCAGAATTTCTCCTACAGAGATTCTAATGCAAAGGAAAGATATTATTTTAGAGTGGATATTTATACGTAATAAAACAAGTAAAAAATCAAAAACTTATGTGGAAAAAGTCTCTGAATTAATTATAAAAGGTAAGCTGAGACTTCGTCAACTAGCAGGTATAGACCCAGCAGAAATTATAGTGCCTTTTACTACTGAAAAGAAATTAAAAAGTTATGGGAAGACAATGAACCATGGCAAAGAGCTTGTGCTAATTTTTTGGGAGAAATTAATAGCAACTATCCCAAAAGTGGTAGACTTAACCTC